GATTAAACTCTGTTTCTGTTAGCATCTATCCGTTAGCAGGGATTAAACTCTGTTTATGTTAGCATCTATCCGTTAGCAGGGATTAAACTCTGTTTCTGTTAGCATCTATCCGTTAGCAGGGATTAAACTCTGTTTATGTTAGCATCTATCCGTTAGCAGGGATTAAACTCTGTTTCTGTTAGCATCTATCCGTTAGCAGGGATTAAACTCTGTTTCTGTTAGCATCTATCCGTTAGCAGGGATTAAACTCTGTTTCTGTTAGCATCTATCCGTTAGCAGGGATTAAACTCTGTTTCTGTTAGCATCTATCCGTTAGCAGGGATTAAACTCTGTTTATGTTAGCATCTATCCGTTAGCAGGGATGTAACTCTGTTTATGTTAGCATCTATCCGTTAGCAGGGATTAAATTCTGTTTCTGTTAGCATCTATCCATTAGCAGGGATGTAACTCCGTTTATGTTAGCATCTATCCGTTAGCAGGGATGTAACTCTCTGTTTATGTTAGCATCTATGCGTTAGCAGGGATTGAACTCTGTTTCTGTTAGCATCTATCCGTTAGCAGGGATGTAACTCTGTTTCTGTTAGCATCTATCCGTTAGCAGGGATGTAACTCTGTTTATGTTAGCATCTATCCGTTAGCAGGGATGTAACTCTCTGTTTATGTTAGCATCTATGCGTTAGCAGGGATTGAACTCTGTTTCTGTTAGCATCTATCCGTTAGCAGGGATGTAACTCTGTTTATGTTAGCATCTATCCGTTAGCAGGGATTAAACTCTGTTTATGTTAGCATCTATCTGTTAGCAGGGATTAAACTCTGTTTCTGTTAGCATCTATCCGTTAGCAGGGATTAAACTCTGTTTCTGTTAGCATCTATCCGTTAGCAGGGATTAAACTCTGTTTATGTTAGCATCTATCCGTTAGCAGGGATTAAACTCTGTTTCTGTTAGCATCTATCCGTTAGCAGGGATTAAACTCTGTTTCTGTTAGCATCTATCCGTTAGCAGGGATTAAACTCTGTTTATGTTAGCATCTATCCGTTAGCAGGGATTAAACTCTGTTTCTGTTAGCATCTATCCGTTAGCAGGGATTAAACTCTGTTTCTGTTAGCATCTATCCGTTAGCAGGGATTAAACTCTGTTTCTGTTAGCATCTATCCGTTAGCAGGGATTAAACTCTGTTTCTGTTAGCATCTATCCGTTAGCAGGGATTAAACTCTGTTTCTGTTAGCATCTATCCGTTAGCAGGGATTAAACTCTGTTTATGTTAGCATCTATCCGTTAGCAGGGATTAAACTCTGTTTCTGTTAGCATCTATCCGTTAGCAGGGATTAAACTCTGTTTCTGTTAGCATCTATCCGTTAGCAGGGATTAAACTCTGTTTCTGTTAGCATCTATCCGTTAGCAGGGATTAAACTCTGTTTCTGTTAGCATCTATCCGTTAGCAGGGATTAAACTCTGTTTATGTTAGCATCTATCCGTTAGCAGGGATGTAACTCTGTTTATGTTAGCATCTATCCGTTAGCAGGGATTAAATTCTGTTTCTGTTAGCATCTATCCGTTAGCAGGGATGTAACTCTGTTAATGTTAGCATCTATCCGTTAGCAGGGATGTAACTCTCTGTTTATGTTAGCATCTATGCGTTAGCAGGGATTGAACTCTGTTTCTGTTAGCATCTATCCGTTAGCAGGGATGTAACTCTGTTTCTGTTAGCATCTATCCGTTAGCAGGGATGTAACTCTGTTTATGTTAGCATCTATCCGTTAGCAGGGATGTAACTCTCTGTTTATGTTAGCATCTATGCGTTAGCAGGGGTTAAACTCTGTTTCTGTTAGCATCTATCCGTTAGCAGGGATTAAACTCTCTTTCTGTTAGCATCTATCCGTTAGCAGGGATTAAACTCTGTTTCTGTTAGCATCTATCCGTTAGCAGGGATGTAACTCTGTTTATGTTAGCATCTATCCGTTAGCAGGGATGTAACTCTGTTTATGTTAGCATCTATCCGTTAGCAGGGATGTAACTCTCTGTTTCTGTTAGCATCTATCCGTTAGCAGGGATGTAACTCTGTTTATGTTAGCATCTATCCGTTAGCAGGGATGTAACTCTCTGTTTCTGTTAGCATCTATCCGTTAGCAGGGATGTAACTCTCTGTTTATGTTAGCATCTATCCGTTAGCAGGGATTAAATTCTGTTTCTGTTAGCATCTATCTGTTAGCAGGGATTAAACTCTGTTTCTGTTAGCATCTATCCGTTAGCAGGGATTGAACTCTGTTTCTGTTAGCATCTATCCGTTAGCAGGGATGTAACTCTGTTTCTGTTAGCATCTATCCGTTAGCAGGGATGTAACTCTGTTTCTGTTAGCATCTATCCGTTAGCAGGGTTTAAACTCTGTTTCTGTTAGCATCTATCCGTTAGCAGGGTTTAAACTCTGTTTCTGTTAGCATCTATCCGTTCGCAGAGATTGAACTCTGTTTCTGTTAGCATCTATCCGTTAGCAGGGATGTAACTCTGTTTCTGTTAGCATCTATCCGTTAGCAGGGATTAAACTCTGTTTCTGTTAGCATCTATCCGTTAGCAGGGATTAAATTCTGTTTCTGTTAGCATCTATCCGTTAGCAGGGATGTAACTCTTTTTATGTTAGCATCTATCCGTTAGCAGGGATGTAACTCTCTGTTTATGTTAGCATCTATCCGTTAGCAGGGATTAAATTCTGTTTCTGTTAGCATCTATCTGTTAGCAGGGATTAAACTCTGTTTCTGTTAGCATCTATCCGTTAGCAGGGATTGAACTCTGTTTCTGTTAGCATCTATCCGTTAGCAGGGGTTAAACTCTGTTTCTGTTAGCATCTATCCGTTAGCAGGGATTAAACTCTCTTTCTGTTAGCATCTATCCGTTAGCAGGGATTAAACTCTGTTTCTGTTAGCATCTATCCGTTAGCAGGGATGTAACTCTGTTTATGTTAGCATCTATCCATTAGCAGGGATGTAACTCTGTTTATGTTAGCATCTATCCGTTAGCAGGGATGTAACTCTCTGTTTCTGTTAGCATCTATCCGTTAGCAGGGATGTAACTCTGTTTATGTTAGCATCTATCCGTTAGCAGGGATGTAACTCTCTGTTTCTGTTAGCATCTATCCGTTAGCAGGGATGTAACTCTCTGTTTATGTTAGCATCTATCCGTTAGCAGGGATTAAATTCTGTTTCTGTTAGCATCTATCTGTTAGCAGGGATTAAACTCTGTTTCTGTTAGCATCTATCCGTTAGCAGGGATTGAACTCTGTTTCTGTTAGCATCTATCCGTTAGCAGGGATGTAACTCTGTTTCTGTTAGCATCTATCCGTTAGCAGGGATGTAACTCTGTTTATGTTAGCATCTATCCGTTAGCAGGGATGTAACTCTCTGTTTATGTTAGCATCTATGCGTTAGCAGGGATTGAACTCTGTTTCTGTTAGCATCTATCCGTTAGCAGGGATTGAACTCTGTTTCTGTTAGCATCTATCTGTTAGCAGGGATTGAACTCTGTTTCTGTTAGCATCTATCCGTTAGCAGGGTTTAAACTCTGTTTCTGTTAGCATCTATCCGTTAGCAGGGTTTAAACTCTGTTTCTGTTAGCATCTATCCGTTCGCAGAGATTGAACTCTGTTTCTGCGGCTCTAAGGACACAGAAACCCGTCAGGCTGTGAAGGAAAACTAATATTTCAAGGACAATCAGCAGAGCCTTCAGCGGCTATTTGGTTTCCACCGTCTGCAGGGAATCGATCCTCCGCGGAAACTTTTCCAAACCCAGAAGGGATGGTTCCTTTTCTTGGGCTCCGTTTGTCAAGGACAGAGGAGCGGTGCTGCAACCTGATCTATATTCTGCACGGAGCATGTTCTATATAGAGATAGACCTGAGAGAGCGGAGCCGCTTCCAGTAGCAGCGAGCATCAGATAAGACTGTCCTCCAAACAGGCTGCTTTATCTCCTCCACTGACACAGCAATACATCCTGCCTAAGGACTCCTGCTAAAAGTCTTTATTTCCACTTCTATTACATTTATTTCTATAGCTCCAATTAACATCATATCATCTCAGGTCACTTTATAGAGACAATTCAACCAGATCATCCAGTCAGATTGATTTAAAGTTTTTTACCGAAGGAAAGCTGTCATGATCTGGCCTGTTTGCTCTCGCTAAATTGGTTATTTCTTTCACCTGTCATCTATTCAGTTTATTTCTATAGCTCCAATTAACATCATGTCATCTCAGGTCTCTTTATAGAGACAATTCAACCAGATCATCCAGTCAGATTGATTCAAAGTTTTCTATCTAAGGAAAACCAGCTGATTGCATCGACTCATTGACTCTTCAGCAATCCCTCACACTAAGCATGCTTGTAGCGACAGTGGAGAGGAAAAACTCCCTTTGAACAGGAAGAAACCTCCAGCAGAACCAGGCTCAGTGTGAGCGGCCATCTGCTGAGGCCCACTGGGAGAATAGAGATAGAATGAAGCAGAATGATGAAAAAGGGGTCCCTATGTCCTCCAGCAGTCTAAGCCTATAGCAGCAGAACTATAGAGATAGCTCAGGATAACTTGAGTATTTTGGATCAAATATAAGACAGGTAAAGAGTAAACCAGCATATCACTGGTTTCCAGTTCAACCTGTTCTTTAGCTCCGCTGCTGTCAGCCGTCTGGTCTCAAAACCGGAACCACAGGGAACACTGATGCCTTAATGATGATGAAGGTGTCTCTGTTCACCGGTTCTGGTCCAGTGAAAGAGCTAAATGCAGCTCAGTGACCTTTGCCACCGGTTCTGCTGGACTAGTAGAAAAACAACTGTTACTTTAACATCTGTAGAGTGAATATAACTCTGCTTCGCTCCTGGATCTTCTGATTGGTTGACACGGTGCAGGGAGTTCTGCCCCTTCGGACTGACCTGGAAAGGTCACAGTGTGGTTAGCCTGATGTGGTTACCAGGCTTCATCTGCTCCATGGAGCATCCGCCTGGACTTTCTGCCCTGAAAGGACTCGGATCGAGTCGGTCCATCCGTCCTCCTGCTCCGCTACCACCTCCCTACAGAGATCCTCCAGCGTACGCCGCAATGTTCTGACCAGAACACCGACCACATCAAGCTCCGGGTCATCGCGTCGCCCTGGACCCCAAACGCCATCCAAGGATTCTCCAGGAGGTCCGAACGTTCCTCCTGACCTGGACTCCAGCGATCCAGAACAGCTGGTTGATGAAGGAGGAAGAAGCAGGTTTGATCTTTGATCGGATGGGAGCGAGGATGAGGAGGGAGGGCCGCCATGGAGCCAAGCTAATGAATTAAAATGGCGTCAGTAATAATGAGCTGCACCATGTGTGGCTAACCGCTAACGGCAGCCCTGTTGATCCTCTTTGGTTTGCAGCTCAGCTAAGCTAAGAGCGCTGCAGCTAATCCTGTTAGAGTTGTGATTCATGATCTTTAGTGGATGTCATCCTTTTTTCTTCCTCCTTCATTTTCCATGTCTCTGTGTGCAGCGCTGAAATGAGACCTTCGCTAATGCGCTGCGTGAAATCGCATCGCCTTCAATGGAATTACTCTCACTGCCTGTCCAAGAGCAGCGCTTCAAATGTCAGGGGGAGGGGGAGGCTGCAGAGAGACACGGAAACATCTTTATTTCAGCAGCAAAACGAGTCTGCAACTAGCTGCTGCGTTCCAAACCAAGCAGATAAGTAACGGATGTGCAGAGCATCACCTGGACGGGAAGAGCAACGTCCTCCCAGCTGACCTCAGACCAACAATCAGGGGTCAGCTGACCTCTGACCAACAATCAGGGGTCAGCTGACCTCTGACCAACAATCAGGGGTCAGCTGACCTCTGACCAACAATCAGGGGTCAGCTGACCTCTGACCAACAATCAGGGGTCAGCTGACCTCAGACCAACAATCAGGGGTCAGCTGACCTCAGACCAACAATCAGGGGTCAGCTGACCTCTGACCAACAATCAGGGGTCAGCTGACCTCAGACCAACAATCAGGGGTCAGCTGACCTCTGACCAACAATCAGGGGTCAGCTGACCTCAGACCAACAATCAGGGGTCAGCTGACCTCTGACCAACAATCAGGGGTCAGCTGACCTCAGACCAACAATCAGGGGTCAGCTGACCTCTGACCAACAATCAGGGGTCAGCTGACCTCTGACCAACAATCAGGGGTCAGCTGACCTCTGACCAACAATCAGGGGTCAGCTGACCTCAGACCAACAATCAGGGGTCAGCTGACCTCAGACCAACAATCAGGGGTCAGCTGACCTCTGACCAACAATCAGGGGTCAGCTGACCTCAGACCAACAATCAGGGGTCAGCTGACCTCTGACCAACAATCAGGGGTCAGCTGACCTCAGACCAACAATCAGGGGTCAGCTGACCTCTGACCAACAATCAGGGGTCAGCTGACCTCAGACCAACAATCAGGGGTCAGCTGACCTCTGACCAACAATCAGGGGTCAGCTGACCTCTGACCAACAATCAGGGGTCAGCTGACCTCTGACCAACAATCAGGGGTCAGCTGACCTCAGACCAACAATCAGGGGTCAGCTGACCTCAGACCAACAATCAGGGGTCAGCTGACCTCTGACCAACAATCAGGGGTCAGCTGACCTCTGACCAACAATCAGGGGTCAGCTGACCTCTGACCAACAATCAGGGGTCAGCTGACCTCAGACCAACAATCAGGGGTCAGCTGACCTCTGACCAACAATCAGGGGTCAGCTGACCTCAGACCAACAATCAGGGGTCAGCTGACCTCTGACCAACAATCAGGGGTCAGCTGACCTCAGACCAACAATCAGGGGTCAGCTGACCTCTGACCAACAATCAGGGGTCAGCTGACCTCTGACCAACAATCAGGGGTCAGCTGACCTCAGACCAACAATCAGGGGTCAGCTGACCTCAGACCAACAATCAGGGGTCAGCTGACCTCTGACCAACAATCAGGGGTCAGCTGACCTCAGACCAACAATCAGGGGTCAGCTGACCTCTGACCAACAATCAGGGGTCAGCTGACCTCAGACCAACAATCAGGGGTCAGCTGACCTCTGACCAACAATCAGGGGTCAGCTGACCTCTGACCAACAATCAGGGGTCAGCTGACCTCAGACCAACAATCAGGGGTCAGCTGACCTCAGACCAACAATCAGGGGTCAGCTGACCTCTGACCAACAATCAGGGGTCAGCTGACCTCAGACCAACAATCAGGGGTCAGCTGACCTCTGACCAACAATCAGGGGTCAGCTGACCTCAGACCAACAATCAGGGGTCAGCTGACCTCTGACCAACAATCAGGGGTCAGCTGACCTCAGACCAACAATCAGGGGTCAGCTGACCTCTGACCAACAATCAGGGGTCAGCTGACCTCTGACCAACAATCAGGGGTCAGCTGACCTCTGACCAACAATCAGGGGTCAGCTGACCTCAGACCAACAATCAGGGGTCAGCTGACCTCAGACCAACAATCAGGGGTCAGCTGACCTCTGACCAACAATCAGGGGTCAGCTGACCTCTGACCAACAATCAGGGGTCAGCTGACCTCAGACCAACAATCAGGGGTCAGCTGACCTCTGACCAACAATCAGGGGTCAGCTGACCTCAGACCAACAATCAGGGGTCAGCTGACCTCTGACCAACAATCAGGGGTCAGCTGACCTCAGACCAACAATCAGGGGTCAGCTGACCTCTGACCAACAATCAGGGGTCAGCTGACCTCTGACCAACAATCAGGGGTCAGCTGACCTCAGACCAACAATCAGGGGTCAGCTGACCTCTGACCAACAATCAGGGGTCAGCTGACCTCAGACCAACAATCAGGGGTCAGCTGACCTCAGACCAACAATCAGGGGTCAGCTGACCTCTGACCAACAATCAGGGGTCAGCTGACCTCAGACCAACAATCAGGGGTCAGCTGACCTCAGACCAACAATCAGGGGTCAGCTGACCTCTGACCAACAATCAGGGGTCAGCTGACCTCTGACCAACAATCAGGGGTCAGCTGACCTCTGACCAACAATCAGGGGTCAGCTGACCTCTGACCAACAATCAGGGGTCAGCTGACCTCAGACCAACAATCAGGGGTCAGCTGACCTCAGACCAACAATCAGGGGTCAGCTGACCTCTGACCAACAATCAGGGGTCAGCTGACCTCTGACCAACAATCAGGGGTCAGCTGACCTCAGACCAACAATCAGGGGTCAGCTGACCTCTGACCAACAATCAGGGGTCAGCTGACCTCTGACCAACAATCAGGGGTCAGCTGACCTCTGACCAACAATCAGGGGTCAGCTGACCTCAGACCAACAATCAGGGGTCAGCTGACCTCTGACCAACAATCAGGGGTCAGCTGACCTCAGACCAACAATCAGGGGTCAGCTGACCTCTGACCAACAATCAGGGGTCAGCTGACCTCTGACCAACAATCAGGGGTCAGCTGACCTCAGACCAACAATCAGGGGTCAGCTGACCTCTGACCAACAATCAGGGGTCAGCTGACCTCAGACCAACAATCAGGGGTCAGCTGACCTCAGACCAACAATCAGGGGTCAGCTGACCTCTGACCAACAATCAGGGGTCAGCTGACCTCTGACCAACAATCAGGGGTCAGCTGACCTCAGACCAACAATCAGGGGTCAGCTGACCTCAGACCAACAATCAGGGGTCAGCTGACCTCTGACCAACAATCAGGGGTCAGCTGACCTCAGACCAACAATCAGGGGTCAGCTGACCTCTGACCAACAATCAGGGGTCAGCTGACCTCTGACCAACAATCAGGGGTCAGCTGACCTCTGACCAACAATCAGGGGTCAGCTGACCTCAGACCAACAATCAGGGGTCAGCTGACCTCAGACCAACAATCAGGGGTCAGCTGACCTCTGACCAACAATCAGGGGTCAGCTGACCTCAGACCAACAATCAGGGGTCAGCTGACCTCAGACCAACAATCAGGGGTCAGCTGACCTCTGACCAACAATCAGGGGTCAGCTGACCTCAGACCAACAATCAGGGGTCAGCTGACCTCAGACCAACAATCAGGGGTCAGCTGACCTCTGACCAACAATCAGGGGTCAGCTGACCTCTGACCAACAATCAGGGGTCAGCTGACCTCTGACCAACAATCAGGGGTCAGCTGACCTCTGACCAACAATCAGGGGTCAGCTGACCTCAGACCAACAATCAGGGGTCAGCTGACCTCAGACCAACAATCAGGGGTCAGCTGACCTCTGACCAACAATCAGGGGTCAGCTGACCTCTGACCAACAATCAGGGGTCAGCTGACCTCAGACCAACAATCAGGGGTCAGCTGACCTCTGACCAACAATCAGGGGTCAGCTGACCTCTGACCAACAATCAGGGGTCAGCTGACCTCTGACCAACAATCAGGGGTCAGCTGACCTCAGACCAACAATCAGGGGTCAGCTGACCTCTGACCAACAATCAGGGGTCAGCTGACCTCAGACCAACAATCAGGGGTCAGCTGACCTCTGACCAACAATCAGGGGTCAGCTGACCTCTGACCAACAATCAGGGGTCAGCTGACCTCAGACCAACAATCAGGGGTCAGCTGACCTCTGACCAACAATCAGGGGTCAGCTGACCTCAGACCAACAATCAGGGGTCAGCTGACCTCTGACCAACAATCAGGGGTCAGAGAGGCTGGAGGTCAACCAGGCAACATTTCTGTTCTCATCAGGCCGTCCTGTTTTCACTGACTCAGCAGTTGATCTTATGCTGTTTGTTTTTTAAGGACAGTAATGAAGACATTTTAACCTGCGATGGCAAAGAGAAGGAGCTTTACTGTCTGAGGAGGAACGGCTCCTTCCATGAGCTGCTCCTCATGCTGCCAGCTTCCAACCGCAGCTTCAAACGGCTTCCTGTAACTGAGCAGCGCACAGCCGCGGGTGTTCTGTCCCCATTTACTCCCATAACTAAAGAGCAGCAACAGGTGGGGGAAGGTCATTAATATAGGGCAGCCTGTGTGTAGCTGACCCAGCAACAGGTGGGGGAAGGTCAGAATGTTTTATCTCGTCTCCTGGGTATCTAACATAATGAGTCTCCGGGTGTTTTTCAGACTGTGATGCTAACGCTAACACTGGGATGCTTAGACAAAGACTGTGATGCTAACGCTAAAACTGTGATGCTAACGTTAACACTGTGATGCTAATGCTAACATTGAGATGCTAATGCTAATATTGAGATGCTTACACAATGACTGTAATGCTGACTCTAAGACTATGATGCTAACACTAACATTGTGATGCTAATGCTAACACTGTGATACTAATGCTAACATTGAGATGCTAATGCTAACACTGTGATGCTAATGCTAACACTGTGATGCTTACCCTAAGAATGTGATGCTAACACTAACACTGTGATGCTAATGCTAACACTGTGATGCTTACACAAAAACTGTGATGCTAATGCTAAGACTGTGATGCTAACGCTAACACTGTGATCCTTACACAAAGACTGTGATGCTAACGCTAACACTATGATGCTAACGCTACGATTGTGATGCTAATGCTAACACCGTAATGCTTACCCTAAGACTGTGATGCTAACACTAACACTGTGATGCTAATGCTAACACGGTGATGCTTACACAAAGACTGTGATGCTAATGCTAAGACTGTGATGCTAACTCTAACACTGTGATCCTTACACAAAGACTGTGATGCTAACGCTAACACTGTGATGCTAATGCTAACAGTGTGATGCTAACACTAATACTGTGGTGTTACACAAAGACTGTAATGCTTAGGCTGAAGATGTGATGCTAGCACTTACACTGTGATGCTAACGCTACGACTGTGATGCTAACGCTAAAGCTGATCATACCTGAAACCTTCATGGTGACGGCGTCTTCCTGCTACCTGTCCTCTTCTGGCTCCGCCCTTTTTCTCCACATGCATGTTCTGATCATGTGATCTGCATTCAGGGTGGATTTAGACGGATCTAGCAGGGCTGCAGACACAGATCTATGATCTCCTCAGGAAGCTGCTAATGAGGCTTAACGAGATATTTAGACCTTTCTGCCTAGAGCATCAACATCTAGAACTGCATGAAGATCAATGAGCAATGATGTCATTTCTGTTCAGATTATTGGTTAAATATTAAATGTAACATTTATGCCATTTTATTGCATGTTAGTAGTTAGAAGTTTATGACCAAAACACATGATTCATTTTAAAGGTTAGGGTTCTACTGAAATTCAATAAAAGTTTAAAAAACAAAAATGCAATAGGAAATATGCAAAAAACTGAAATATGCAATAATGGTTAATATGGTTTAATATCAATTTTTTTTTTAAATACTTTAAAGGTAAATGAAATGAATCTATTCATATATATCTTTTTTAACAACTTGTTGTATATGTTGTTGCCATAGACAGGAATGATCTTCTGTAGAGGTCTGCCTACAGAGGGACTGGAGAGCCCTCTGACTAAAGACACTTAGAGCATCTGATGGGCAAACTGGAACAGCTGGGCTTCAATACGCCCCTCTGCTATTGGCTGCTAGACTTCCTCACCAACAGACCTCAGTCAGAACGCCTCTGATGTCATCAGTCTAAGCCCCTCCCCTCAGGGCTGCGTCCCCAGGTTCACCACCGATCACATGGTGAAGTTTGCAGACGACACCACGGCGGTGGGCCTCATCAGAGACGACAACGACCTGGACTACAGAGAGGAGGTGGAGCAGCTGGTGGAGCAGAGATAACAGCCTGATCCTGAAGGTGGAGAAGACCAAGGAGATCATGGTGGACTTCAGGAAGAAGCGTCCTGACCACGCTCCACTGCTCATCAACAGCTCAGCTGTAGAGGTGGTCAGCAGCACCACATTCATCACAGACACCCTCACCTGGACTGGAAACACCACCTCACTGGTCCAAAGGGCCCAGAAGCGCTTGGACTTCCTGCGGAGGATGAGGATATATATATATATATATATATATATATATATATATATATATATATATATATATATATATATATATATATATATATATATATATATATATTTAAAAGAAAATTAGAACTGTAAATTTACAGTCATTTTTACTATTTTTCAAGGCTGCACTTTTAAAAAGATGAAATTTCTTTTTGTTTCACACTTGTGTAAACAAAATGAAGAATAAAATCAGTCTAAAGTCTAAAACAGAGCCGCTCTGCTCAGGGTTAGTGTTCGTATCTTAGCAACAACGGAGCTGATTACATCACATTTTAACATAACCACTATGTTATTTTCTTATTCTGTATGAAGTTCATTAAAGTGTACAGATAACAAACTGTCTTCTAGAACAGGTATTGTGTCACAAGACGTGAGAGCTGGACCTTATTTTTCTTTTTGGGGATTTTTGGTGGTTCTAATCTTTTTTCTAATCGTTTTTTTAGGGGCGGGGTGCGTTTGGATTTTTTTATTTTGGAACGAACTTTGGACATTATTATTAGAAATCAAAAGAATGGACAGTTTTGGACTTTCAGTCATTAGGATTGTTTGTTTTCTTTTTGGCAGATATAAACTGAGACTTTGAGTTTAATTATAAATTGGTTGTGAAGGTTTTTGGGTTATTGGTCTATTTATACGGAATTATTATTGAATGACACTTTGGATTCTTGGTAGTATTGTGATTTTTTTAAATAAATCTTTGTTGCTAAAAGTCAACATAACCTTAGTGGTTGGATATTTTTTCTTTTGTCTCAGATTCATAATGTAACACACTTTGCCTGTTTTCCTGTGGCAGAATCCCCCATGAGTACTAGTGAGTTCTGCTGTGAATCAAGCTGAATTTGACCCGTTATGGCAGAGGGAGGAATGTAGACGGTTACCAATAGAACACTGGTGAACTCTCCAGGCAAATAGTGAGGATAACATCCTTTAGTGGCGTTAATACTGCCCATTTTCTGGTCGGGTCCTAGCTAGGACTTGGAGTTCTTCTAACGTGTTTCCTGAAGATCTCACATTCTCCATGATTGATGGAAGAGATGGTTTCTATTTCCTGCTTCCCTGTCTCCTCCTTGCTTTCTACCTCAGCAGGAACCTGTGGGAGTGGTAGATTTACTTCAGCTTTAGAGATGCTCCAGGGTGTAAAGAATCAACTTGCTGTGGTTGCTATGGTTATGAATCACAACAATTATTAAAAATGGGAAAAAAAAAACAGTACAAATCCTTGTAGTTTCACAGCGTTCAACACCAGTAGCCCCTTTTCCACTGACCGCCCGGGGTTTGCATCCCCCAGGTAACAGGAATCCTGACTAATGTTACTGTACCATGACTCTGAAAGGCCCCGGGACCATCAACCAAAGACCATAAAACCTAAACTACACCCATGTTGGAGTCTTTCTGTATGAACTTCCCTCCTCCTGCTGAGAGATATTGTTGATGAAAATGACAAAGGTAATGAATGTGACTCGGATGATGAACATGCCTCAGGGAATGAAAATGACTCGGGTGATGAAAATGACTCTGGTGATGAAAAGGACTCGGTTGATGAACAGGACTCTGGTGATGAAAATGACTCAGGTAATGAAAATGACTTGGATGATGAAATGACGCAGGTAATGAAAATGACTCGGGTAATGACATGACACAGGTAATGAAAATGACTCGGGTGATGAAAATGACTCTGGTGATGAAAAGGACTCGGTTGATGAACAGGACTCTGGTGATGAAAATGACTCAGGTAATGAAAATGACTTGGATGATGAAATGACGCAGGTAATGAAAATGACTCGGGTAATGACACGACACAGGTAATGAAAATGACTCGGGTGATGAAAATGACTCTGGTGATGAAAAGGACTCGGTTGATGAACAGGACTCTGGTGATGAAAATGACTCAGGTAATGAAAATGACTTGGATGATGAAATGACACAGGTAATGAAAATGACTCGGGTAATGACATGACGCAGGTAATGAAAATGACTTGGATGATGACATGACGCAGGTAATGAAAATTACTCGGGTAATGACATGACGCAGGTAATGAAAATGACTTGGATGATGAAATGACGCAGGTAATGAAAATGACTCGGGTAATGACATGACACAGGTAATGAAAATGACTCGGGTGATGAAAATGACTCTGGTGATGAAAAGGACTCGGTTGATGAACAGGACTCTGGTGATGAAAATGACTCAGGTAATGAAAATGACTTGGATGATGAAATGACACAGGTAATGAAAATGACTCGGGTAATGACATGACGCAGGTAATGAAAATGACTTGGATGATGACATGACGCAGGTAATGAAAATTACTCGGGTAATGACATGACGCAGGTAATGAAAATGACTCGGGTAATGACATGACACAGGTAATGAAAATGACTCGCGTAATGACATGACGCAGGTAATGAAAATGACTTGGATGATGACATCACGCAGGTAATGAAAATGACTCGGGTGATGAAATAACGCATGTCATGAAAATGACTCCGGTAATGAAATGACGCAGGTAATGAAAATGACTCGGGTAATGACATGACGCAGGTAATGAAAATGACTCGGATGATGACATGACGCAGGTAATGAAATTTACTCGGGTAATGACATGACGCAGGAAATGAAAATGACTCGGATGATGACATGACGCAGGTAATGAAATTTACTTGGGTAATGACATGACGCAGGAAATGAAAATGACTCGGGTAATGACATGACGCAGGTAATGAAAATGACTTGGATGATGACATGACGCAGGTAATGAAATTTACTCGGGTAATGACATGACGCAGGTAATGAAAATGACTCGGGTAATGACATGACGCAGGTAATGAAAATTACTCGGGTAATGACATGACGCAGGTAATGAAAATGGCTCGGGTAATGACATGACACAGGTAATGAAAATGACTCGGGTGATGAAAATGACTGGTGATGAAAAGGACTCGGTTGATGAACAGGACTCTGGTGATGAAAATGACTCAGGTAATGAAAATGACTTGGATGATGAAATGACACAGGTAATGAAAATGACTCGGGTAATGAAATGACACAGGTAATGAAAATGACTCGGGTGATGAAAATGACTCTGGTGATGAAAAGGACTCGGTTGATGAACAGGACTCTGGTGATGAAAATGACTCAGGTAATGAAAATGACTTGGATGATGAAATGACGCAGGTAATGAAAATGACTCGGGTAATGACATGACACAGGTAATGAAAATGACTCGGGTGATGAAAATGACTCTGGTGATGAAAAGGACTCGGTTGATAAACAGGACTCTGGTGATGAAAATGACTCAGGTAATGAAAATGACTTGGATGATGAAATGACACAGGTAATGAAAATGACTCGGGTAATGACATGACGCAGGTAATGAAAATGACTTGGATGATGACATGACGCAGGTAATGAAAATTACTCGGGTAATGACATGACGCAGGTAATGAAAATGACTCGGGTGATGAAATAACGCAGGTCATGAAAATGACTCCGGTAATGAAATGACGCAGGTAATGAAAATGACTCGGGTAATGACATGACGCAGGTAATGAAAATGACTCGGATGATGACATGACGCAGGTAATGAAATTTACTCGGGTAATGACATGACGCAGGAAATGAAAATGACTCGGATGATGACATGACGCAGGTAATGAAATTTACTCGGGTAATGACATGACGCAGGAAATGAAAATGACTCGGGTAATGACATGACGCAGGTAATGAAAATGACTTGGATGATGACATGACGCAGGTAATGAAATTTACTCGGGTAATGACATGACGCAGGTAATGAAAATGACTCGGGTAATGACATGACGCAGGTAATGAAAATTACTCGGGTAATGACATGACGCAGGTAATGAAAATGGCTCGGGTAATGACATGACACAGGTAATGAAAATGACTCGGGTGATGAAAATGACTGGTGATGAAAAGGACTCGGTTGATGAACAGGACTCTGGTGATGAAAATGACTCAGGTAATGAAAATGACTTGGATGATGAAATGACACAGGTAATGAAAATGACTCGGGTAATGAAATGACACAGGTAATGAAAATGACTCGGGTGATGAAAATGACTCTGGTGATGAAAAGGACTCGGTTGATGAACAGGACTCTGGTGATGAAAATGACTCAGGTAATGAAAATGACTTGGATGATGAAATGACGCAGGTAATGAAAATGACTCGGGTAATGACATGACACAGGTAATGAAAATGACTCGGGTGATGAAAATGACTCTGGTGATGAAAAGGACTCGGTTGATGAACAGGACTCTGGTGATGAAAATGACTCAGGTAATGAAAATGACTTGGATGATGAAATGACACAGGTAATGAAAATGACTCGGGTAATGACATGACGCAGGTAATGAAAATGACTTGGATGATGACATGACGCAGGTAATGAAAATTACTCGGGTAATGACATGACGCAGGTAATGAAAAATGACTCGGGTAATGACATGACACAGGTAATGAAAATGACTCACGTAATGACATGACGCAGGTAATGAAAATGACTTGGATGATGACATCACGCAGGTAATGAAAATGACTCGGGTGATGAAATAACGCAGGTCATGAAAATGACTCCGGTAATGAAATGACGCAGGTAATGAAAATGACTCGGGTAATGACATGACGCAGGTAATGAAAATGACTCGGATGATGACATGACGCAGGTAATGAAATTTACTCGGGTAATGACATGACGCAGGAAATGAAAATGACTCGGATGATGACATGACGCAGGTAATGAAATTTACTCGGGTAATGACATGACGCAGGAAATGAAAATGACTCGGGTAATGACATGACGCAGGTAATGAAAATTACTCGGGTAATGACATGACGCAGGTAATGAAAATGACTTGGATGATGACATGACGCAGGTAATGAAAATGACTTGGATGATGACATGACGCAGGTAATGAAAATTACTCGGGTAATGACATGACGCAGGTAATGAAAATGACTCGGGTAATGACATGACGCAGGTAATGAAAATTACTCGGGTAATGACATGACGCAGGTAATGAAAATGACTCGGGTAATGACATGACACAGGTAATGAAAATGACTCGGGTGATGAAAATGACTGGTGATGAAAAAGACTCGGTTGATGAACAGGACTCTGGTGATGAAAATGACTCAGGTAATGAAAATGACTTGGATGATGAAATGACACAGGTAATGAAAATGACTCGGGTAATGAAATGACACAGGTAATGAAAATGACTCGGGTGATGAAAATGACTCTGGTGATGAAAAGGACTCGGTTGATGAACAGGACTCTGGTGAAGAAAATGACTCAGGTAATGAAAATGACTTGGATGATGAAATGACGCAGGTAATGAAAATGACTCGGGTGATGACATGACGCAGGTAATGAAAATAACTTGGATGATGACATGGCGCAGGTAATGAAAATGACTCGGACAATGACTTGACGCAGGTAATGAAAATTACTCGGGTAATGACATGACGCAGGTAATGAAAATGACTCGGGTAATGACATGACACAGGTAATGAAAATGACTCGGGTGATGAAAATGACTCTGGTGATGAAAAGGACTCGGTTGATGAACAGGACTCTGGTGATGAAAATGACTCAGGTAATGAAAATGACTTGGATGATGAAATGACACAGATAATGAAAATGACTCGGGTAATGAAATGACACAGGTAATGAAAATGACTCGGGTGATGAAAATGACTCTGGTGATGAAAAGGACTCGGTTGATGAACAGGACTCTGGTGATGAAAATGACTCAGGTAATGAAAATGACTTGGATGATGAAATGACGCAGGTAATGAAAATGACTCGGGTAATGACATGACGCAGGTAATGAAAATGACTTGGATGATGACATGACGCAGGTAATGAAAATGACTCGGGTAATGAAATGACACAGGTAATGAAAATGACTCGGGTGATGAAAATGACTCTGGTGATGAAAAGGACTCGGTTGATGAACAGGACTCTGGTGATGAAAATGACTCAGGTAATGAAAATGACTTGGATGATGAAATGACGCAGGTAATGAAAATGACTCGGGTAATGACATGACGCAGGTAATGAAAATGACTTGGAAGATGAAATGACACAGGTAATGAAAATGACTCGGGTAATGAAATGACACAGGTAATGAAAATGACTCGGGTGATGAAAATGACTCTGGTGATGAAAAGGACTCGGTTGATGAACAGGACTCTGGTGATGAAAATGACTCAGGTAATGAAAATGACTTGGATGATGAAATGACACAGGTAATGAAAATGACTTGGGTAATGACATGACGCAGGTAATGAAAATGACTTGGATGATGACATGACGCAGGTAATGAAAATTACTCGGGTAATGACATGACGCAGGTAATGAAAATGACTCGGGTAATGACATGACACAGGTAATGAAAATGACTCGGGTAATGACATGACGCAGGTAATGAAAATGACTTGGATGATGACATGACGCAGGTAATGAAAATGACTCGGGTAATGACATGACGCAGGTAATGAAAATGACTCGGGTAATGACATGACACAGGTAATGAAAATGACTCGGGTGATGAAATAACGCAGGTCATGAAAATGACTCCGGTAATGAAATGACGCAGGTAATGAAAATGACCCGGGTAATGACTTAACGCAGGTAATGAAAATGACTCGGGTAATGACATGACGCAGGTAATGAAAATTACTCGGGTAATGACATGACGCAGGAAATGAAAATGACTCGAGTAATGACATGACACAGGTAATGAAAATGACTCGGTTGATGAAAATGACTCTGGTGATGAAAAGGACTCGGTTGATGAACAGGACTCTGGTGATGAAAAGGACTCGGTTGATGAACAGGACTCTGGTGATGAAAATGACTCAGGTAATGAAAATGACTTGGATGATGAAATGACACAGGTAATGAAAATGCCTCGGGTAATGACATGACGCAGGTAATGAAAATGACTTGGATGATGACATGACGCAGGTAATGAAAATTACTCGGGTAATGACATGACGCAGGTAATGAAAATGACTCGGGTAATGACATGACGCAGGTAATGAAAATGACTCGGGTAATGACATGACGCAGGTGATGAAATGTCTCGGGTGATGAAATGACTCAGGTGATGAAATGACGCAGGTAAAGAAAATGACTCGGGTGATGAAATGGCGCAGGTAATGAAATGATGCAGGTGATGAAAATGACTCGGGTGATGAAATGACGCAGGTAATGAAATGATGCAGGTGATCAAAATGACTCGGGTGATGAAATGACGCAGGTAATGAAATGATGCAGGTGATGAAAATGACTCGGTTGATGAAAATGACTCGGGTGATGAAATGACGCAGGTAATGAAAATGACTCGGGTGATGAAAATGACGCAGGTGATGACATGACTCGGGTGATGAAAATTACTCGGGTGATGAACTTGACTCGGGTGATGAACATGACTCGGGTGATGAACATGACTCAGGTGATGAAATGACGCAGGTAAAGAAAATGACTCGGGTGATGAAATGACGCAGGTAATGAAAATGACTCGGTTGTTGAAAATGACTCAGGTAATGAAAATGACTCGGGTGATGAAATGATGCAGGTGATGAAAATGACTCGGTTGATGAAAATGACTCGGTTGATGAAAATGACTCTGGTGATGAAATGACTCGGTTGATGAAAATGACTCAGGTAATGAAAATGACTCGGGTGATGAAATGATGCAGGTGATGAAAATGACTCGGTTGATGAAAATGACTCAGGTAATGAAAATGACTCGGGTGATGAAATGATGCAGGTGATGAAAATGACTCCGTTGATGAAAATTACTCGGTTAATGAAATGACGCAGGTAATGAAAATGACTCGGGTAATGAAATGACTCGGGTGATGAAATGACTTGGATGATGACATGACGCAGGTAATGAAATTTACTCGGGTAATGACATGACGCAGGAAATGAAAATGACTCGGGTAATGACATGACGCAGGTAATGAAAATTACTCGGGTAATGACATGACGCAGGTAATGAAAATGACTTGGATGATGACATGACGCAGGTAATGAAATTTACTCGGGTAATGACATGACGCAGGTAATGAAAATGACTCGGGTAATGACATGACGCAGGTAATGAAAATGACTCGGGTAATGACATGACGCAGGTAATGAAAATGACTCGGGTAATGACATGACACAGGTAATGAAAATGACTCGGGTGATGAAAATGACTCTGGTGATGAAAAGGACTCGGTTGATGAACAGGACTCAGGCAATGAAAATGACTTGGATGATGAAATGACACAGGTAATGAAAATGACTCGGGTAATGAAATGACACAGGTAATGAAAATGACTCGGGTGATGAAAATGACTCTGGTGATGAAAAGGACTCGGTTGATGAACAGGACTCTGGTGATGAAAATGACTCAGGTAATGAAAATGACTTGGATGATGAAATGACGCAGGTAATGAAAATGACTCGAGTGATGACATGACGCAGGTAATGAAAATGACTTGGATGATGACATGGCGCAGGTAATGAAAATGACTCGGACAATGACATGACGCAGGTAATGAAAATTACTCGGGTAATGACATGACGCAGGTAATGAAAATGACTCGGGTAATGACATGACACAGGTAATGAAAATGACTCGGGTGATGAAAATGACTCTGGTGATGAAAAGGACTCGGTTGATGAACAGGACTCTGGTGATGAAAATGACTCAGGTAATGAAAATGACTTGGATGATGAAATGACACAGGTAATGAAAATGACTCGGGTAATGAAATGACACAGGTAATGAAAATGACTCGGGTGATGAAAATGACTCTGGTGATGAAAAGGACTCGGTTGATGAACAGGACTCTGGTGATGAAAATGACTCAGGTAATGAAAATGACTTGGATGATGAAATGACGCAGGTAATGAAAATGACTCGGGTAATGACATGACGCAGGTAATGAAAATGACTTGGATGATGACATGACGCAGGTAATGAAAATGACTCGGGTAATGAAATGACACAGGTAATGAAAATGACTCGGGTGATGAAAATGACTCTGGTGATGAAAAGGACTCGGTTGATGAACAGGAATCTGGTGATGAAAATGACTCAGGTAATGAAAATGACTTGGATGATGAAATGACGCAGGTAATGAAAATGACTCGGGTAATGACATGACGCAGGTAATTAAAATGACTTGGATGATGAAATGACACAGGTAATGAAAATGACTCGGGTAATGAAATGACACAGGTAATGAAAATGACTCGGGTGATGAAAATGACTCTGGTGATGAAAAGGACTCGGTTGATGAACAGGACTCTGGTGATGAAAATGACTCAGGTAATGAAAATGACTTGGATGATGAAATGACGCAGGTAATGAAAATGACTCGGGTAATGACATGACACAGGTAATGAAAATGACTCGGGTGATGAAAATGACTCTGGTGATGAAAAGGACTCGGTTGATGAACAGGACTCTGGTGATGAAAATGACTCAGGTAATGAAAATGACTTGGATGATGAAATGACACAGGTAATGAAAATGACTCGGGTAATGACATGACGCAGGTAATGAAAATGACTTGGATGATGACATGACGCAGGTAATGAAAATTACTCGGGTAATGACATGACGCAGGTAATGAAAATGACTCGGGTAATGACATGACACAGGTAATGAAAATGACTCGGGTAATGACATGACGCAGGTAATGAAAATGACTTGGATGATGACATGACGCAGGTAATGAAAATGACTCGGGTAATGACATGACGCAGGTAATGAAAATGACTCGGGTAATGACATGACACAGGTAATGAAAATGACTCGGGTAATGACATGACGCAGGTAATGAACATGACTTGGATGATGACATGACGCAGGTAATGAAAATTACTCGGGTGATGAAATAACGCAGGTCATGAAAATGACTCCGGTAATGAAATGACGCAGGTAATGAAAATGACTCGGGTAATGACATGACGCAGGTAATGAAAATGACTCGGGTAATGACATGACGCAGGTAATGAAAATTACTCGGGTAATGACATGACGCAGGAAATGAAAATGACTCGAGTAATGACATGACACAGGTAATGAAAATGACTCGGTTGATGAAAATGACTCTGGTGATGAAAAGGACTCGGTTGATGAACAGGACTCTGGTGATGAAAAGGACTCGGTTGATGAACAGGACTCTGGTGATGAAAATTACTCAGGTAATGAAAATGACTTGGATGATGAAATGACACAGGTAATGAAAATGCCTCGGGTAATGACATGACGCAGGTAATGAAAATGACTTGGATGATGACATGACGCAGGTAATGAAAATTACTCGGGTAATGACATGACGTAGGTAATGAAAATGACTCGGGTAATGACATGACGCAGGTAATGAAAATGACTCGGGTAATGACATGACGCAGGTGATGAAATGTCTCGGGTGATGAAATGACTCAGGTGATGAAATGACGCAGGTAAAGAAAATGACTCGGGTGATGAAATGGCGCAGGTAATGAAATGATGCAGGTGATGAAAATGACTCGGGTGATGAAATGACGCAGGTAATGAAATGATGCAGGTGATGAAAATGACTCGGGTGATGAAATGACTCGGGTGATGAAATGACGCAGGTAATGAAAATGACTCGGGTGATGAAAATGACGCAGGTGATGACATGACTCGGGTGATGAAAATGACTCGGGTGATGAAAATGACTCGGGTGATGAACGTGACTCAGGTGATGAACATGACTCGGGTGATGAACATGACTCAGGTGATGAAATGACGCAGGTAAAGAAAATGACTCGGGTGATGAAATGACGCAGGTAATGAAAATGACTCGGTTGTTGAAAATGACTCAGGTAATGAAAATGACTCGGGTGATGAAATGATGCAGGTGATGAAAATGACTCGGTTGATGAAAATGACTCGGTTGATGAAAATGACTCTGGTGATGAAATGACTCGGTTGATGAAAATGACTCAGGTAATGAAAATGACTCGGGTGATGAAATGATGCAGGTGATGAAAATGACTCGGTTGATGAAAATGACTCAGGTAATGAAAATGACTCGGGTGATGAAATGATGCAGGTGATGAAAATGACTCGGTTGATGAAAATTACTCGGTTAATGAAAATGACTCGGTTGATGAAAATGACTCGGTTGATGAAAATTACTCGGTTGATGAAAATGACTCGGGTGATGACATGACTCGGGTGATGAAAATGACTCGGGTGATGACATGACGAAGGTAATGAAAATGACTTGGATGATGACATGACGCAGGTAATGAAAATGACTCGGGTAATGACATGACGCAGGTAATGAAAATGACTCGGGTAATGACATGACGCAGGTAATGAAAATGACTCGGGTAATGACATGACGCAGGTGATGAAATGTCTCGGGTGATGAAATGACTCAGGTGATGAAATGACGCAGGTAAAGAAAATGACTCGGGTGATGAAATGGCGCAGGTAATGAAATGATGCAGGTGATGAAAATGACTCGGGTGATGAAATGACGCAGGTAATGAAAATGACTCGGGTAATGAAATTACACAGGTAATGAAAATGACTCGGGTGATGAAAATGACTCTGGTGATGAAAAGGACTCGGTTGATGAACAGGACTCTGGTGATGAAAATGACTCAGGTAATGAAAATGACTTGGATGATGAAATGACGCAGGTAATGAAAATGACTTGGGTGATGACATGACGCAGGTAATGAAAATGACTTGGATGATGACATGGCGCAGGTAATGAAAATGACTCGGACAATGACATGACGCAGGTAATGAAAATTACTCGAGTAATGACATGACGCACGTAATGAAAATGACTCGGGTAATGACATGACGCAGGTAATGAAAATGACTCGGGTGATGAAAATGACTCTGGTGATGAAAAGGACTCGGTTGATGAACAGGACTCTGGTGATGAAAATGACTCAGGTAATGAAAATGACTTGGATGATGAAATGACACAGGTAATGAAAATGACTCGGGTAATGAAATGACACAGGTAATGAAAATGACTCGGGTGATGAAAATGACTCTGGTGATGAAAAGGACTCGGTTGATGAACAGGACTCTGGTGATGAAAATGACTCAGGTAATGAAAATGACTTGGATGATGAAATGACGCAGGTAATGAAAATGACTCGGGTAATGACATGACGCAGGTAATGAAAATGACTTGGATGATGACATGACGCAGGTAATGAAAATGACTCGGGTAATGAAATGACACAGGTAATGAAAATGACTCGGGTGATGAAAATGACTGGTGATGAAAAGGACTCGGTTGATGAACAGGACTCTGGTGATGAAAATGACTCAGGTAATGAAAATGACTTGGATGATGAAATGACGCAGGTAATGAAAATGACTCGGGTAATGACATGACGCAGGTAATTAAAATGACTTGGATGATGAAATGACACAGGTAATGAAAATGACTCGGGTAATGAAATGACACAGGTAATGAAAATGACTCGGGTGATGAAAATGACTCTGGTGATGAAAAGGACTCGGTTGATGAACAGGACTCTGGTGATGAAAATGACTCAGGTAATGAAAATGACTTGGATGATGAAATGACGCAGGTAATGAAAATGACTCGGGTAATGACATGACACAGGTAATGAAAATGACTCGGGTGATGAAAATGACTCTGGTGATGAAAAGGACTCGGTTGATGAACAGGACTCTGGTGATGAAAATGACTCAGGTAATGAAAATGACTTGGATGATGAAATGACACAGGTAGTGAAAATGACTCGGGTAATGACATGACGCAGGTAATGAAAATGACTTGGATGATGACATGACGCAGGTAATGAAAATTACTCGGGTAATGACATGACGCAGGTAATGAAAATGACTCGGGTAATGACATGACACAGGTAATGAAAATGACTCGGGTAATGACATGACGCAGGTAATGAAAATGACTTGGATGATGACATGACGCAGGTAATGAAAATGACTCGGGTAATGACATGACGCAGGTAATGAAAATGACTCGGGTAATGACATGACACAGGTAATGAAAATGACTCGGGTAATGACATGACGCAGGTAATGAACATGACTTGGATGATGACATGACGCAGGTAATGAAAATTACTCGGGTGATGAAATAACGCAGGTCATGAAAATGACTCCGGTAATGAAATGACGCAGGTAATGAAAATGACTCGGGTAATGACATGACGCAGGTAATGAAAATGACTCGGGTAATGACATGACGCATGTAATGAAAATTACTCGGGTAATGACATGACGCAGGAAATGAAAATGACTCGAGTAATGACATGACACAGGTAATGAAAATGACTCGGTTGATGAAAATGACTCTGGTGATGAAAAGGACTCGGTTGATGAACAGGACTCTGGTGATGAAAAGGATTCGGTTGATGAACAGGACTCTGGTGATGAAAATGACTCAGGTAATGAAAATGACTTGGATGATGAAATGACACAGGTAATGAAAATGCCTCGGGTAATGACATGACGCAGGTAATGAAAATGACTTGGATGATGACATGACGCAGGTAATGAAAATTACTCGGGTAATGACATGACGCAGGTAATGAAAATGACTCGGGTAATGACATGACGCAGGTAATGAAAATGACTCGGGTAATGACATGACGCAGGTGATGAAATGTCTCGGGTGATGAAATGACTCAGGTGATGAAATGACGCAGGTAAAGAAAATGACTCGGGTGATGAACTGGCGCAGGTAATGAAATGATGCAGGTGATGAAAATGACTCGGGTGATGAAATGACGCAGGTAATGAAATGATGCAGGTGATGAAAATGACTCGGGTGATGAAATGACTCGGGTGATGAAATGACGCAGGTAATGAAAATGACTCGGGTGATGAAAATGACGCAGGTGATGACATGATTTGGGTGATGAAAATGACTCGGGTGATGAAAATGACTCGGGTGATGAACGTGACTCGGGTGATGAACATGACTCGGGTGATGAACATGACTCTGGTGATGAAATGACGCAGGTAAAGAAAATGACTCGGGTGATGAAATGACGCAGGTAATGAAAATGACTCGGTTGTTGAAAATGACTCAGGTAATGAAAATGACTCGGGTGATGAAATGATGCAGGTGATGAAAATGACTCGGTTGATGAAAATGACTCGGTTGATGAAAATGACTCTGGTGATGAAATGACTCGGTTGATGAAAATGACTCAGGTAATGAAAATGACTCGGGTGATGAAATGATGCAGGTGATGAAAAATGACTCGGTTGATGAAAATGACTCAGGTAATGAAAATGACTCGGGTGATGAAATGATGCAGGTGATGAAAATGACTCGGTTGATGAAAATTACTCGGTTGATGAAAATGACTCGGTTGATGAAAATGACTCGGTTGATGAAAATTACTCGGTTGATGAAAATGACTCGGGTGATGACATGACTCGGGTGATGAAAATGACTCGGGTGATGACATGACGCAGGTAATGAAAATGACTTGGATGGTGACATGACGCAGGTAATGAAAATTACTCGCGTAATGACATGACGCAGGTAATGAAAATGACTCGGGTAATGACATGACGCAGGTAATGAAAATGACTCGTGTAATGACATGACGCAGGTGATGAAATGTCTCGAGTAATGACATGACGCAGGTAATGAAAATGACTCGGGTAATGACATGACGCAGGTAATGAAAATGACTCGGGTGATGAAAATGACTCTGGTGATGAAAAGGACTCGGTTGATGAACAGGACTCTGGTGATGAAAATGACTCAGGTAATGAAAATGACTTGGATGATGAAATGACACAGGTAATGAAAATGACTCGGGTAATGAAATGACACAGGTAATGAAAATGACTCGGGTGATGAAAATGACTCTGGTGATGAAAAGGACTCAGTTGATGAACAGGACTCTGGTGATGAAAATGACTCAGGTAATGAAAATGACTTGGATGATGAAATGACGCAGGTAATGAAAATGACTCGGGTAATGACATGACGCAGGTAATGAAAATGACTTGGATGATGACATGACGCAGGTAATGAAAATGACTCGGGTAATGAAATGACACAGGTAATGAAAATGACTCGGGTGATGAAAATGACTGGTGATGAAAAGGACTCGGTTGATGAACAGGACTCTGGTGATGAAAATGACTCAGGTAATGAAAATGACTTGGATGATGAAATGACGCAGGTAATGAAAATGACTCGGGTAATGACATGACGCAGGTAATTAAAATGACTTGGATGATGAAATGACACAGGTAATGAAAATGACTCGGGTAATGACATGACACAGGTAATGAAAATGACTCGGGTAATGACATGACGCAGGTGATGAAATGTCTCGAGTAATGACATGACGCAGGTAATGAAAATGACTCGGGTAATGACATGACGCAGGTAATGAAAATGACTCGGGTGATGAAAATGACTCTGGTGATGAAAAGGACTCGGTTGATGAACAGGACTCTGGTGATGAAAATGACTCAGGTAATGAAAATGACTTGGATGATGAAATGACACAGGTAATGAAAATGACTCGGGTAATGAAATGACACAGGTAATGAAAATGACTCGGGTGATGAAAATGACTCTGGTGATGAAAAGGACTCGGTTGATGAACAGGACTCTGGTGATGAAAATGACTCAGGTAATGAAAATGACTTGGATGATGAAATGACGCAGGTAATGAAAATGACTCGGGTAATGACATGACGCAGGTAATGAAAATGACTTGGATGATGACATGACGCAGGTAATGAAAATGACTCGGGTAATGAAATGACACAGGTAATGAAAATGACTCGGGTGATGAAAATGACTGGTGATGAAAAGGACTCGGTTGATGAACAGGACTCTGGTGATGAAAATGACTCAGGTAATGAAAATGACTTGGATGATGAAATGACGCAGGTAATGAAAATGACTCGGGTAATGACATGACGCAGGTAATTAAAATGACTTGGATGATGAAATGACACAGGTAATGAAAATGACTCGGGTAATGACATGACACAGGTAATGAAAATGACTCGGGTGATGAAAATGACTCTGGTGATGAAAAGGACTCGGTTGATGAACAGGACTCTGGTGATGAAAATGACTCAGGTAATGAAAATGACTTGGATGATGAAATGACACAGGTAATGAAAATGACTCGGGTAATGAAATGACACAGGTAATGAAAATGACTCGGGTGATGAAAATGACTGGTGATGAAAAGGACTCGGTTGATGAACAGGACTCTGGTGATGAAAATGACTCAGGTAATGAAAATGAATTGGATGATGAAATGACGCAGGTAATGAAAATGACTCGGGTAATGACATGACGCAGGTAATGAAAATGACTTGGATGATGACATGACGCAGGTAATGAAAATTACTCGGGTAATGAAATGACACAGGTAATGAAAATGACTCGGGTGATGAAAATGACTGGTGATGAAAAGGACTCGGTTGATGAACAGGACTCTGGTGATGAAAATGACTCAGGTAATGAAAATGACTTGGATGATGAAATGACGCAGGTAATGAAAATGACTCGGGTAATGACATGACGCAGGTAATTAAAATGACTTGGATGATGAAATGACACAGGTAATGAAAATGACTCGGGTAATGAAATGACACAGGTAATGAAAATGACTCGGGTGATGAAAATGACTCTGGTGATGAAAAGGACTCGGTTGATGAACAGGACTCTGGTGATGAAAATGACTCAGGTAATGAAAATGACTTGGATGATGAAATGACACAGGTAATGAAAATGACTCGGGTAATGACATGACGCAGGTAATGAAAATGACTTGGATGATGACATGACGCAGGTAATGAAAATTACTCGGGTAATGACATGACGCAGGTAATGAAAATGACTCGGGTAATGACATGACACAGGTAATGAAAATGACTCGGGTAATGACATGACGCAGGTAATGAAAATGACTTGGATGATGACATGACGCAGGTAATGAAAATGACTCGGGTAATGACATGACGCAGGTAATGAAAATGACTCGGGTAATGACATGACACAGGTAATGAAAATGACTCGGGTAATGACATGACGCAGGTAATGAACATGACTTGGATGATGACATGACGCAGGTAATGAAAATTACTCGGGTGATGAAATAACGCAGGTCATGAAAATGACTCCGGTAATGAAATGACGCAGGTAATGAAAATGACTCGGGTAATGACATGACGCAGGTAATGAAAATGACTCGGGTAATGACATGACGCAGGTAATGAAAATTACTCGGGTAATGACATGACGCAGGAAATGAAAATGACTCGAGTAATGACATGACACAGGTAATGAAAATGACTCGGTTGATGAAAATGACTCTGGTGATGAAAAGGACTCGGTTGATGAACAGGACTCTGGTGATGAAAAGGACTCGGTTGATGAACAGGACTCTGGTGATGAAAATGACTCAGGTAATGAAAATGACTTGGATGATGAAATGACACAGGTAATGAAAATGCCTCGGGTAATGACATGACGCAGGTAATGAAAATGACTTGGATGATGACATGACGCAGGTAATGAAAATGACTCGGGTAATGACATGACGCAGGTAATGAAAATGACTCGGGTAATGACATGACGCAGGTAATGAAAAGCACTCGGGTAATGACATGACGCAGGTGATGAAATGTCTCGGGTGATGAAATGACTCAGGTGATGAAATGACGCAGGTAATGAAATGATGCAGGTGATGAAAATGACTCGGGTGATGAAATGACTCGGGTGATGAAATGACGCAGGTAATGAAAATGACTCGGGTGATGAAAATGACGCAGGTGATGACATGACTCGGGTGATGAAAATGACTCGGGTGATGAAAATGACTCGGGTGATGAACGTGACTCGGGTGATGAACATGACTCGGGTGATGAACATGACTCAGGTGATGAAATGACGCAGGTAAAGAAAATGACTCGGGTGATGAAATGACGCAGGTAATGAAAATGACTCGGTTGTTGAAAATGACTCAGGTAATGAAAATGACTCGGGTGATGAAATGATGCAGGTGATGAAAATGACTCGGTTGATGAAAATGACTCGGTTGATGAAAATGACTCTGGTGATGAAATGACTCGGTTGATGAAAATGACTCAGGTAATGAAAATGACTCGGGTGATGAAATGATGCAGGTGATGAAAATGACTCGGTTGATGAAAATGACTCAGGTAATGAAAATGACTCGGGTGATGAAATGATGCAGGTGATGAAAATGACTCGGTTGATGAAAATTACTCGGTTGATGAAAATGACTCGGTTGATGAAAATGACTCGGTTGATGAAAATTACTCGGTTGATGAAAATGACTCGGGTGATGACATGACTCGGGTGATGAAAATGACTCGGGTGATGACATGACGCAGGTAATGAAAATGACTTGGATGATGACATGACGCAGGTAATGAAAATTACTCGGGTAATGACATGACGCAGGTAATGAAAATGACTCGGGTAATGACATGACGCAGGTAATGAAAATGACTCGGGTAATGACATGACGCAGGTGATGAAATGTCTCGGGTGATGAAATGACTCAGGTGATGAAATGACGCAGGTAAAGAAAATGACTCGGGTGATGAAATGGCGCAGGTAATGA